CATTCTACATGTTTGTTTATTTATTGTGATTGTAAAGCACAAGTCCTACATAAATAAGTAAGTTAGATAAATCACTTCAATAGGTGTAGCATTTTCAAGATAATTGTGGGTCTGAAGGTACTATATAAAAAGGCACTATATTGAAGTGTGGAGAGTTGCTTTTTTCATTTTTTTTTTACTATTTTCTTTAACATCATTGTGACTAAAGAAACCACTCAATATCCACTCTGAAAGCTGTGGGTTCAACCCCTGCAGCAATCACCCTCTTCCTGAGGTCCTTGAGCAAAACCTTGAAATCTTCCTGTCCGATATCATTTGGTTAAAGGCCTGTCATGTCAAACTGATAAACACATCCCATTTACAAGTTTTCTGGCTTTTGGGGGTGCTAAGCATGAAGTCCATTGTTAAGTGTTGAATTGAGAAATCTTGTGATTTGTGCCGTTTTTCCGCCCCAGCAGTGTTATTAAAATGAAGATAAATTGCAGCCAGTCCCAGAGAAATTTTCTTCAAAAGAAACAAAGCCAAATGAACACCGAAGATGTATAAAATGCACTTTGTTCATCAGAGGGAGGGAGGGAGGGAGGGAGAAAAGACTCCACTCAGCGAGCTCTGAATGCTGCATTTCATGCCTGCAACAATTATGCTGAAAGGTCAAGTATTACAGCATCTTGTGCTCCGCTTTGCATGCAAAGTATTTCAGTTCACAAATGACCCTCGTTTGCGCTCTTTGAACAATGGCTTGAAGAACCAGATAAACGTAGGACAATTAAAGATTTTTGGTGCTAGCTGACAATAACATTTACCAAAGGGGGTGATTGCAGTTGCTGTGTAATTGTCCTATTTGTAATGCACATGAATGCCTACTGCAGTGAAATGTTTAGGAACTTAAGAAAGAGGCACGAGAGTGGCTGTGCTTTAAAAGAACAAAAACTATTATTTTTAAAATCTCTAAATGAAGTTGTTATGAGATTGCATTTAGAAAATAGTTTCCTAGAGTTTCTGATGATTATTAAAATTATCATTATTATATATATCTTTATATAGCCTACATTTTAGTTTGTATTGCCCGTCTTTGTGCTGATTATTTCAGTACCGTGGACAGCACCAAGTCTGCCTCTTACAAAACATACACAAAATAAAACTATAACTGATAACATTTTTAAAACTAAAATAAGCCACTCTGACATTCACTGCTAACAGTTTTTATCTTTCTGTTTTATTTGAGGTTTATGTGAGCTTCCACTGCACTTAACGCAAGCAAATCGCAGCGCAGTGTTGATGCAATACATGATATTCGGAAAAATATTCATTAATAAGAATATATTTAGACTCGCTCACTTCAGTACTATGTTTTTGTCTATTTCTTGTATTATTGTTAATATTGTCCTTTGATATTTCAACAGTTTTCACATTTGATTATGGATATATTCTCTTTCTCAGATCTACCATTAAAATTGTATTCAGTCTTACAAATGTAAGTGTAAGATCTGTGACTCTTGCTTTGGAGGAACCGATTATTGCACACAAGTAACACTGCAGAAATATCCATCTTCAAGTGATTTAATCATTTAAAACCTGCAGTATCCTGAGAAGGTGTCATTTACTTGATGCACTACGGAAACTGACACGTTTATCACAAAACAGTGACAATGCACAATGCATAATTTTCGTTAAAAGAAAAATACACATTTAAGTGGAAGTTGCCACGTGTTAAATAAAAATCTAATTTTAATATTTAAAACAATATAATTTGCTTTGCCGACACTTCTCGAACACACTGTCAAGATTTAAATGAACTCTAGCTTGCTTACTGTCTCATGGAATTTATTGCAACGTCAATTTTAAGACGCACACATATTTGATATCCCCTTAAACTTTAACTTAACTACATGCCCACTCATACAGACAAGACAGCATTTCTGGATGCCACAAAGCTAAACAGGCGAATAAAATTCAACATCCAGTCACTAACTCAAATATGATTACCTTGAGATTAGGGACTAATTGCTTGGGGTTCATGGAGACCAGCCCACCATAAAGCCAGGAGGACTTGGGGAGTTGCACTGTGGGTTTCTACAAAAGAGAGCGATGAGAGCACACACGCTTCCAACAAGTCATTCTCAACAGCTACAAGCTGCACACAAAGACCACACACCGCGCCAAAGACATGTTAATGTAATCCCAAAGTTCTCACTTTTCTCCCGAACAAAACCAGCTCTGCAAAATAGCTAATAGAAGATAGTTTCTGATGCTGGTAAGATTTCACTTAAAAGTCCACCAAAAGGGCTTTTTTGGGGGGCTGCTGGTGGCCTAAAACTGCTGCAGGGCTGCTGCTGGTTAAAATGATACAGATTAGAGAGGAGGTGAATAAAGACGTTTAGTGGGGGAAAAAAACTCACTTTCTCAAACCAAACAACAAACTTTAAAAAAAAAAAGTTACATGTCAAAAGATTAAAAGTGAGTGTGGCGTGAAATTATTATCTCCAGGAAAATCACTCTAAACGTGTTTATAGTGGTGCACTACACTTCAGTATGTGAGCCTATAGGTGCATAGTCCGAGTCAAAGCCCCCAAAACCTCTAAAGGTTTATAGAAAAGATTAACACGTTTTAAAGGTTGGTAAATGCAGCAGATGAAATATAATTTTACAATATAATATATTATAGTTATGGCTGGAAAATGCAGCCTGGATAATGTCAAATGAGAGCAATAGACGGGACAATGAACAGCAGTCAGGTGCACTCTGGGCCTGCAGGGCTACTGCAGCTGCATGTGACCGATCACCGACGGCACGTTTGGACAACACACCTTATTGCCTTATTTTATTTCATTTGTGGCTTCACTGATCGCCTGTGTATCTCTGCAACCTATCTGTAAGAATACCATGTTACAAATATATACAAACAGCTGAATAATTAGACGACGTGTCGAGCCGATTAAGGTCTGTTTGCAGTCTCATTAAAAAAAAAACAAGGGGTCTTGGAGATATTTGAAATAAAGCTTCATCGTCTTAAAAAAAAAAAAAACCTTTTACAAAATTGGCCCATGTGCAGAAATGATCATTTATCTCAAAAACAACGGATAACAGGAGCATTTGCGCGTCAACTCTTCATTCAACGAAGCTATGTAGCGTTTTTTTAGGGGAAGTCACGACATTTAGGCCTTCAGCTAAATCTCTTAAAATAAAATAAAAAGGCTTCTTTTTTTAAATTATTATCATCAAATGATTTCAGCGCCATATAAAATCAGACGAGCTGTATTGTATCTCATCCAGACCCCAAAACTATTTGAAATTACAGCTGTAGGACGACACAGAAATTCAAAACAACTTATTTAAGCCATAAACGAAAATCACCTGTCGTTACCTCCGTCGCTTGGCAACCACACTGTTTACAGTTAATACTTATAGCGCTATTAGATGGCGGGAGAATAGTCCCTAATGATTATTATAGCTTATATATACAGAGCCTCCACCTAAAGAGAAATAAATTACTGGTTGTGTGCGTTCGTTATTGCGGCCGGTTAAAAAAAAAAAAAAGAAAAAACTAAATTGCGTAAAATACAGCCTAATGTTTTTTTTTTTAAATGTTTGTGGAGACTTGGCGCTGGTTTGTTATTGACACCGGACCCAAACAGCCTTTCGTCGTTTCCTTTCAATTCCATGATTGATTATTGATAAACCAGCTGATAGGCCCCGCGGCGACAGTTATTTGAGAAGAATACCGCGCTGTTTGGTCAGGGATTTCCATCGATAAGCTGTTCTTTGCGCAGCGTTTGTGTTTGATGTTGGTGAGCTGACACACCTCACCTTTCTGACTCACACAGTCAGCATATAGAAAACACACACCGAGCGCTTCAAACACATACACACACACACACACACAGAAAGAGAAAAGAAAAAACTGCACATAAAGGCTCCGTTTACTCTGCAGGGGCATGCTTGTGTGAGCTGCAGCCTTTGACGATAAGCCTGAGCGGTGTGTGATTTGTCACAGAATAAAACATTAAAAAATAAAAGAGGCCCTAGTGTTTAATCGTCATGTCAGAATAAGAGCCTGAGTGTTGATAAAGTATTTAATCTGGTCCGTTTGCCAAAACGGAACCGATTAGCCAACATGGAGACCTGGTTCTTCTAAAAGAAATTGTCATCGTAGAAACAAAATTGAGCACATTTTCTCACAATAATCCCAGGAATCAATAAAGACTTCGCCTCCTTAAAAGAGAAAGAAATAGCTATAATAGAAGACGAGCAAATAATAATAATAATAATAATAATGATAATAATAGGCTACTGCACTGGTTTCATTTTTGCTCTACTATTTTTTGTCGCAAAGGAATATTTTTCGGCATTTAACACCGCATATGTTGACATATTTCACAAAAAAAAGCTTAACTGTCTTGTTTCCATAATTTATTAATAGGACTGTTTTGTAGTAAGTCAAATATCTATATAAGTTACAAAGAAATAAAACGTACAAATACCAATGAAACGACAACAAACCGGCAATAGGGTCAAAAACTTTGTACAACAGATAGCTAAAATTCAAACCTTTTACAGAAATATACAAGCTAGATCTACGGCTTACATTAAATTCTATTATAAATCAGTCATGTGTGTCTGTGTGTTTGTGGGGGGTGGGGGGGATTTAAGCACCCATATACAGCAGTTTTAGTGTATATGCCTCCCTGTTCAGGTTTACCTTTTTCCCAACTAATGCGGCCTATAATGACTGCTGATTCTTCTTTTGTCTCAATATAATTTACATAAATAAATCCCAAGATTTTCACATCCGCAGTTTTCTGGTCAAAACAGTTTTTTTTTTAGTGTTTTTTTTCCTCCTTCACTTCCTTCCAAAAAGGTGAAAATTCAAAGAAGAGCTGCACTGCGCCGATTTCTCTCGGCTCTGGTTCAAATACGCACATTTACAGTGAAACTTGTCGAGTCTTGAAAGAAAAAAGTCTTTTTTCTTTCTCTCTCTCGCTCTCTCTTTAAATAGAAGAATTGGTTTTAAATCATAGCCGGCGCCTCTTGTCACCACGTCCTGCCGTATAACAGGGCTGAACACTGCAGGGCCGAGCCGTACTCTGCGCCGGGGGAATTGAGGTGGGAGAGGCCGGCCACTTGGCTCTGCAGCGACGGCGGACTGGAGGAGTGCGGCGCCAAATCTGGAGAGTGACCTGTGCTTCCCACCTGCTGGCTCTGATGCTGCCCGAGACCGGACGTGTTGTTGGACATGATCATGACATTGCCCCCTTGCTGGTGGTGGGTCTGTGCGGAGGATGTGGGCGTGTGGCCGCTGCCTTGGCACGGCTTCCCGTCCTTCACCAGCACCGGCACGGCCACCCTCCGCGGGGACTGCTGCTGCTGCTGCTGGCAAGAGCCGCTGTCCTGCTGCATCTGCTGCTGGGACACTTTGTCTTTCGCCTGCCTCTTCATCTTGTACCGGTGGTTCTGAAACCAGATTTTCACCTGGGTCGGGGTGAGGTGGATCATACTTGCCAGGTGCTCCCTCTCCGGCGCCGACAGGTATTTCTGCTGCTTGAAGCGTCGCTCCAGCTCGTAGACCTGCGCCTGGGAGAACAAGACTCGCCTCTTTCTCCTCGGGGTGCTGGACAGAGACCCCATGCCTTTACCCACGTCTGCCAGGGAGCTGAGGCTGCCCATGCTGCCCATGTTCATGCCCGACGAGGAACCCATGAAGCGAGAAACTGAGGAAAAAAACACACAATTAATACAATGAAATTACTACACAATGCAAAAATAAGTCTGTATTTATGTGAAAAACCTTTGATTCCGACAATTAATAGATTTTTTTATGGATAAAACTATGTGTTATGATGATTAGCATTAATATAATTCCAACCCTGCTAATTATTTTCATGGATGTCACAAAAAGTGCCACTCAACATGGTCTGCATTTTGACAAGCAGCTGAGTAAAACTAGCCTTAAACTGCTTCCCAAAGAGGCAGGTGCCCCTATCCACAAAAACAAACTCTAATGCGTGTCAAAGTCCAGATTCACACACTAAACAGTCAAATCTATCAACTAAACCTCTGCAGCAATAGCTCCCGACTGACAGCATTTTATTATTGGACTAATGTGATAAACTATCCAAAGCTTAGTGGAGAATTTTCGGCATGAATGCTCCTTATGGGGAGACTTGATTTAGCTTCATCTTTGCCCTCCCTGGTAATAAAATTAAAACCTAGCGGGTGAAATCTACTCTGGAGGGGTTTGGAGAGTGCACACTTTGACGCACAAACAGAAAACAGGTGACAGAAACAATATAGCGAGCAGTGAAATTAAAACACAAACACGAAGCATGCAACGCAGGGCTGCATTTCAGCTGCGTACACCGTGCGATAACTCAAAGGCTGGAGTCAAAGTACAGGTGCAGGCTACTCACTGGTGGAGAAGCGCGGGTCTGGGTTGGCTCCGTACCAGCCGGTGGCCGTGGTGCTGCCCCTCATGCCGTCCTGGTAGGACGGCAGGTCGCCCATGTTTCCCAGGTTGCCGTTACAGTAGCCCCCCATCGCCGTGTGTGACAGCTGAGAAACACCTGCCGCAGTCATGTGGTAAGCCGCAGACACAGTCCCATTATGGCCCATGTGGTGCTGCTGCATCGCCGCCTGAGAGACCTGCGGCTGCCGGTAAGAAGTGAGAGGTGCCCCCAAGTTGTTATTCTCCATACTTACTTTCTTATAGCTCTCCTCAAGGGGACTCAAGATATCGGAAACAGAAAAAGGAGTCGTATGCTTAGGGCTCATCGACATTGTTCTGTGGCTGGAGAGGGAGAAATTAGAAGGCAAGGCAATCTCTCCTTCTCTCTCTTTTTTTTTTTTTGGCCAAAGCCCCTCTGGTTCCTGTTGTCTCAACGTCGATCCTGGTAGATGAACACGTAGGAGAGCGCCTCAAGTCCGCCTTAATTGGATTGAGTGGGAGCTCGGTGCTGGCTTTGGTTTGTTTTAGCTGGGTGCCAGGTTTAAGGCTACCATCAGAGGCGGGGCATCAGCAACAATACCAAACAGCTCTAGCCTCCTTTCGCCGAGCGTAATTTCACTTACAAGACATGTGCTCCCCTCCCACTAACAATAACATAAGCGCTGTAGCCTACATGATCATAAATGTTCATCCCGGAGGCTGCAGGCGGTGTCCGGACTCGCTGCAGCTGCTGTATTCGGAGTTTGTGACTTGTTGCTGTCGCTGATAAACACACGGCTGCACCTTCAGACTGCACTGACCACAATACACTTTATTAACTGTAGTGATGTTTACGAGGGCCTCTTGATGAAAGGAGGCCTATATGGACTTGAGAGTTGGAGAACCACTCCTCGGTTGAACTACTGACTTTTAATGGTCATAAGAGGCCTCCAGTGATTGCAGGATTGTTTGTGTTATGCCTTATCGTACTCAGACATGCAAAAGTGCACTTGCGGGGAGGGAAATTGACTGATACTGATAAGTAAATAAATACACATCCGCGTGTTAAGTGGCTGCGTAAATGATTAACCCCCCTCGTTCTTTTTTTCTTTTGATATCATTGGACGCAAGCAGCGTGTTACCTAAATCCAGATGCACACACTCGTCTAAGAGACCCGCTGGAAGAAAAGAAAAAACCAAACAAACAAACAAAAAAAAACAAAAAAACACAACAAAATAGAGTCTGGAGTAGGAGAGGCTCTCATGTGAAGTTAACGGCGTTCAAGTACTCTCCTGCAGCACAACGCCAGGTAGCCCTCAGTAGCATCTTGCCTTAATGCTCAAGGAGCCATAGCAGTTTAACTCAATCATATCTCATTTCTAAAAAAAATTACACAGGAGCTTAAGGAAGGATTTTGGCTCTATCCAACCAGCGCTGAACTCAAGAATAGTTCTCTGTGCCTTGTCTACTTTTACGCACAACTTTTAGGTCACTTTTTCTACACTTTTCACCCCAAAATAGGACTTCAAACTAGTTTTAAACCAAAAAATTGGCAACTCACACTAATAATATTGTATTTGTGTATTTTTAATAGCATTATTGGTATTATTATTTTTAATAATATTACATTTATTTTGGAATTTGCTATTACCAACAGTACATTTTAAAGGTGTTATTTTAGTGAACAGCAATAGAATATTATTTAACACATCTGACAATATTTTAATACAAAGCTATAGCCATTAGTACAAGTCATTATTCGGCTACCAATTTACCTTCCTGCTTTTTTAGATCCAAAATTACTAACATACGACATTAGAAAATAAGCAGTGAAGAATTCAAATCGATACAATAACTTCTAACTTACACAATCTGTGGATGTCAGGATCATGCCGGAGCTGAAACTATGGCTACTGCAACAAAAAAATAATAATCATAAATCAAATGTTATGAATACATTTCGGTTTTGTAAAGGTCTTGCCGGGAGGTCTAACGTCAGTCTTGCAGCAGCAGCTCCGAACAGAAGAAGTCTGAGCCTGCAGCCTGAGCCGATATTTCCTTATACAGGAATTAAAGAAACACAGCGTCTTCTGGTGGCAGACACAATAATTTGTAACATTGTGATCAGTTTTTATTCCACAGTGACTCTAAAACGTGTGTTTCTTGTTTCATTTCTAAAATAAAAGTGGAGATATTTTTTAACTAGTTGTATTTTCTCTCTCTCTCTCTCAAATAAATGATGATGCACCCTCAGCAACAAGCTGTCGTGAAGCCAGGCTCAGCAGCAGCAGCAGCAGCAGCAGTGTGAGGGTGTGTGGAGTAAAGTCCTATTACTGCAGTGACATGCAGATCACTGACAGTTTGTCACGGGGATCATCAGACACAGTTCTGTATTTTACAGGCTTCTGGCTATATATTTCACGGCTGCTATAAGCGAGATAATCTGCGCCCTATGTGCAGAGCTGTATGGAGGCACCGGTCCAATTTAAAGAGCCCTGCACACCATACACATCACAACAATCCATATCCGCCTATTGCCTCACAATTATCTTTAATGAAGCAATATTATCATATAGTCCAAGCCTAAATATTACAGTTAAAATAAATTGTTTGGATGATAGCAGAGGTGCGGTATGCATAATTCGCAGGCCATATAATCGCAGGCAATTAAAATTACAGCATGTTTCTGCATCCAAGGTAAATCTTGCTTATGCCTTCCTTAATTACGGAATTTCGCAAGACATTCTTAATCATCTAAATCAGTACCTTTTTACTGTTCTGGCACACGGCTATTATGGCCAATTAGCGGCAATTAGTCCAAATGTTCCGACTAATTCCTCAGAATAATGAGGACACTTTGAAGTGGCGGGTATGAGGCTACCGAGACTTTGTTATCGAGGCTTCAGGTTGTTGTTTATGAACTGATTGGTGCATGATATAATCCAGAGAGCAACTTCAGACGGGGGAAATAAGTGTGTGCAATGAAAACTAAAAAGAAACTTATTAGTTATAGCTATTTATAAAAAAAAATCAACAATAGTTCCCTATAAAGATACACAATATTTATGATCGCATATGAATAGCAAGAGCTTAAAAAATATCATTAAATGCACCTCAAAATGAATAAATATTAAACTAATCTATCCATCAAGTGCAAAAAATGTCACCCAATATCCGCTAATGATCCACAAATTGATCTCCAAGGTTACATTAAAAAAAGATGAAAGCATCCGCACACTTTATCTCCGCTGCGCATTTTCTGCGGATGAATAACAAACTGTAGATCTATTGATGTTACATTTGGGCTATTTTGCATTCAAAACCCACACTGGGGTCCACTTTATTATAAACAGTTATGTTAAATGGCATCAATATCGCCTGCGTCCTGCAAGTCTACAGCCAAAAAAAACCGCTATTAAATCTAATTTTAGCTAAGGATTATAATTGCCTCATCTTGCTCTGACTGTACTGGCTCCCTTAAGGACTTATTTCTTCCTCAAAACTTTTTTTTTTAAGACTTTTTCCTGTTTCCTCCAACTCTATCAACTCTTGTTCTACCAGGAAATGAGCTGCAGCAAAGAAAAAAATACAGACTCTGAGAAGGATGTGACAAAATAAAGAAGAAAAGCTTCATCATCACACATGAGCCCTTAACTGATGATGACCTAATTAATAATAAATAATAAACCCTCATTATTCAACCAATGCAGTCACATTTTGAAAAGAGGTGGAGATGTTAAAGGTTCATGGTGCAGATATTTCCAGCTGTACTTCATAAATAAAAGGCAAAAGAACAGGACTCATTAGAGGACAAGTGACTTTGCAACACAATCCTTGAGCAAATACTCACGCATGACGTCACACCGGGCAGCCACACGTCACTACGGGCGGCCATCTTTCTGCACCCAATCAGCAGCCCTGAGAGGTTTTTTCTCCCAGTGAAACACGACCCCTGGTGGCTCACTTGCACTTTTCCTCCTAAAGAACTTAAACAAACAGTTTGGTCACATTTACTGCAACATGTGAGGAATTATACAGAGTGTTAGTGCGCCATCTAGTGGAGAGTTGGATCACAAACACTAAAACACTCAATCACAAGTATTTTTCTGAAGATGGTGAAGATGTCAGCATGTCACCACAATTAACACCGTACATAGCTTTCAGTAAGTGCACACTTTACACTTACTGCCATACTATACTCACTCATACTGTACACATATTCTATAGCACCTGTTTACCAACATCTCAGTGTATATATAGTTATTATTTACTGTTTGTAAGCTGTGTATCCATCATAGTATATATATTTATATATATATCTGTCTACAAACCGGTTACATTACAGTTTATACACTTTACTATTGCTCACCTGGCTACCACAGTATTATATTTTTTATTATATTAAAACTATTATTTATTTATTATTTTTAATTATTAATAAACACATATACTTTTATACATAAGAGCTCTGTTGGAGGAAGCCAGAGTTGCCAACATTTCTTCACTGTAACTGTTGTGCAGAAGACAAGAGAACTTAAACTTGAAATACAGCAGCCTATTTCTGAAAGTTATAAGCGAAAGGACAATTACCAACTATTATTTAAACAAAACACATTTTGTGTCCAGTATGTAAAATGTTAAATAAACACAAATGCCAAATACAAAAATTCACTTTAAAATATTTGTTATATGTTTTGGTGGTATATATTATTATATATAGCATATTAGCTGCACTATTAGTCTGAGCTTTGAAAACAAAAAAAAGTTTTTCACTTTTTAAAGTTTATCACAAGAGATGTAAAGATTTTCCTTTACTAGCATCATTTTGGTATGTACAAAAATGTGTTTCCTATAATGTTACACAGCCTGTGTTGAAAACTTTTATATATATATTCATAGATTTAACGAGATGATTGAACATTTTTTGTGGAAAAACAGTGTGAGACACAAATTACCATTCAAAGCAGAGTATTTTTATATGTATTAAAACATGTCTTTTAATGAATTTATTAGTCTGAGATGTTTCAAGAACTATGTCTGCAGTGTGTAAAACATGATCAGCTTCCCTAATAAGCTTCTTATAACACAATCCTCAACTATCACTTACTGCAGTGGTTCCAACCTGGGGCCCCTGAAGGGATCACATGATAAATCTGAGGAGTCGAGATAAATGAATGAATAAGATAGAATAACCAACAAATGTTAATAAATGGCTCATTGTATGAACGGATTCACTTGATAACAGAATTTTTCAATGCCCCGGACATCACTAACATAATTGCATTTTAGAAAATCAATTAAGAGAACTACCATAAAACAGAAACACATCAGTAATCTTATGGGACTTTTTACATTT